TAAAAATATTGCATCCCAGGTGAATGGCAGAAATTAATGCCACCTTAAAGAACAAAGGATGCAAGGGTAGTGTCCCCCCTCAAATCTCCACTTAATTCGCCCATCCGGACCCTGCGAGACCCAGGTATGTCCTGTAGTGTGAAAGTAGACTACAACAAACGAACCAGATATCCCCAATTACAGCTACTGTGCCCGATGCGTCCATGCTAGAGTGGATTTACACAGTCTACACAGTGTAAGATAACTGGCCACTGATCTGGCCGATGCACGACTTATCCCCACCAAAAGGAAGATCAGAAACAGTAGGTTCACTTGGAATTGATACAAGTGTATATTTATGGTTTTCCTACAGGGCTGTGTTAACTCTGTCAAAATATGGTCTAAAGACATGAGAACTGTCTGAATATTTCTTAGAACTTCGTATTAGTTCCTATGTTGATGATATCATATGCATCACGCTAATAAGGCCAGATGAGCAAGAAGTGTCAAGTACTTTGTGTGAGACACATATACTCTAGAAAGTGGGAGAAACGTCCTGTGATATACAAGAGCTTGCCTCATCCGTGAACTTTTTAGGAGTCCAGTGGTCTAAGCATGCTGGAACATTCTAAAGCAAGGAACACATTACTGCAACTCATACCTACCACAAGGAAGAGGGACGCACAACTTCTAGTAAATGTATTCATGTTTTAGAGGCAGCATATTCCACAACTGGTAATACTGCTTAACCTAATACCTGGTAACACAAGAGGCTGCCATCTTTGACTGGGAGGCCCAGAATAGGAGAGAGCTCTGCAGCAGGTCCAGTTGCTACAAGTGGCAGACCCTACAGTCTTGATGTTTCAGTTGATCATCACTTCTCTTCCTCTACTGTCCATTTTAGATTCCCCTCAACCTCAGGAAGCACCTCTGCTGAGCCTCTGCTCATTCCATTATATTACAGGTATCCAAGGTGGAGTTTCTAGCAAGCCCCAGTAGGACAATCACAATATAGGTCTTCAGGGTTCTGGAGCAAGACCATACTATCTGCAGCAGGGAATTAGACACCTTTTGAAAAGTAGCTCCTGGAGGGCTACTAGACCCTGGCAGAGATGGAATACTTCACCAAGGGGCACCAAGTGACCACGTGTCTAGAACCGTTCGTTATTCGTTAGGTTCTGCCTTTCAGACTCACCAAGACCTAAAGTTGAATGGGCCTAGCAATAATCCATAATAAGATGGAAGTGGTATGTCCAGAACTGGGCATGAACAGAGCTACACAGTCAGGTGGCCCAGACACATGTCACCTGCCAGTGTGGCACCAGGGTTTCTTCCTCAGCTCACGCCTGTGGCTGCACAGGGGGCAAAGTCCTTTATGATCGCTGACAAAAGAGGAAAGCCTTTGCTTTGCCTTGATTCACAGACGGGTCAGACTGGTATGTGGGTGCAAGCCAAAAATGAACTGTGACTACAGTACAGCCCACCATAGGCTGATCTTGACAAACAGTGGCAAGGGAAGTTCCCCCAGTGGATCAGTCCTCTCAGTGGTGCATCTGTTCATCCACTTTGTATGGAAAGACATGTAGCCCAAGGGCACACTTTATATTCATTCATGGCTACTAGCAGCTGCCTTGATGTGTGGATCGGGGGTCTGGAAGGAGAAAGATGAGAAGATCAAGGACAAGGATGTTGGGGACAGAGGCATGTGGATGGACTATTTGAGTAGCTAAGAAGTGTGAAGAGGACCGCCAGAGAGCATCTACCATGAAAGAAACACCAAACCACCAAATAGATAGAATGGTTTCGCCGATTGGATGTCAGCCAGATGCCATCAGCCACCCCAGAACTGACACAGTGGGCATGTGAAGGAGCAGCTGTGGTGGCAGGGATGGGGACAAACACACAGACCAAATAGCATGGGCTGTCACTCATAAGGGCTGATGTAGCTACCGCCACTGCTGAATGTCCAGCCTGCCAGCAATGCATCAGTGCTGATCCTCGGAGATGGCAGTGGCTCTCAAAGTGAATAAGTAGCCACTTGATAGTAAGTTGACTACAGTGGATCTCTTCCATTCTAGAAATGGCAGAAATTTATTTTGACTAGAATGGACACATGCTTACCTTTTCCGCCGGCAGGGCCTCAGCCAACACCACTATCTGAGGGCTTACTGAGCGTTTTACCCGCTGACACAGGATCCCACATCACATCACATCGGACCCAAGGGCCCATTCATTGCATAGCCAAGGAGGCATGACAACGGCATGTGACCATGGGATCACCGGTCCTGTCACATTCTGCACCACCCAGAAGATACTGGCTTGAACGAGGAGAAGAAATGGGCTGTTGAAGGCATAGCTGAGATGCCAGCTCAGAGATGATGACACCAAGTAAGGAGGGGACACCACCTTCCAGGGCACAGTGTGCACTCTAATCAACAACCAGTAAGGCGCTATGTCCCACTGGGAGGAATATATAAGTCCAGGAACCAAGGGGTAGAGATAGCAGTGGCTCCACTTTACATTAATCCCATTGGGGTATTTCTGTTACCACAACTCTAAGCTTTGAGGATTTTAGGTTCTGGTTCCCAGTGAGGAAATGTCTCTGTCAAGGGATACAGCGAAAGTATACCAAGGAACCAGTAGGCAATAAGCAGGAGCCACCATCCTGGCAGGAATAGTGGACCGTGCCCCCCAGGCAGTTGCACAGTGGGAACCAGAAGGATTATGTCTCTGTGCGCTCTTGCCCCTTGTTGATGGGAAATGCACAGGTGCAGCAGCCATGGCCTGAAGAGGGTGTGGTGGCCAGGGGCTCAGCTGAGGTGCCTCCTGCAGGGAGGAGAATCTAAAGTGGATAGAAGCCGAGGCGGGCGCAGTGGCTCACGCCTATAATCTCAGCACTTTGGGGGGCCGAGGCGGGAGGATCACTTGAGGTCGGAGTTCGAGACCAGCCTGGTTAACATGCTGAAACCCTGTCTCTACTAAAAAAATTACAAAAATTAGCCAGGCGTGGTGTTGTGTGGTTGTAATCCCAGCTACTCTGGAGGCTGAGGCAGGAGAACTGCTTGAAGCTGGGAGGCAGAGGTTGCAGTGAGCCGAGATCGTGTCATTGCATTCCAGCCTGGGCAAGAGAGTGAGACTCGGTCTCAAAAAAAAAAAAAAAAAAAGTAAAATAAAACGGATAGAAGTCCGAGTGCAGTGCTTCACACCTGTAATCCTAGCACTTTGGGAGCCTGAGGCAGGAGGATCACTCAAGCTCAGAAATTCAACATCAGCCTGTGCAACATAGTGAGACCTCATCTCTTAAAAAAAAAAAAAAAATGTAATTAGTTGAGTGCAGTGGCGCACACCTGTAGATCCAGCTACTCAGGTGGCTGAGGCAGGAGGATCACTTGAGCTTGGGAAGTGGAGGCTGCAGTGAGCTGTGATCACACCACTGCACTCCAGCCTGGGCAACAGAACCAGACTGTCTCTAAATAAATAAATAAACGAAGGATAGAAGAGGGAGATGGGGAGTATCACAGAACTCAAGCACACCTGCAGTGGTGGGGGCTGTGGTCATCTGATGAACCGTTTGTTCCAGAGAAAGGCGAGCTGCCCCAGAACTTAGCCGGAGGCGTGGATCTGAGTGGCACAAGAGGCTGTGGATGCCCTGATACACAATCCAGATCCCCCTCAAGACAGAGGCTCTGCCCCAGCTGCAAGGAGGATTGCTGGCTCACCGCCCTCCTCAGGAATTACCCCAAGTGAAGAGAGCTTCCCCACCCAGTGTCCCACCTCCTCTCTGAGGACAGGATGCACCCAGTGACTGGCTGAAGCTGGGGTACAAAGGTCTGGCCCGTCAGCTCGGTGGGGATGGGGGCATCTGAAGCTGGGACGGCCATGAGACTTTTCTAAGGCTTCAGAACCCTCCATGGGTTCAGCTGAGGGGACTGCCTTGCAGCCCAGCTTCTCCCTCTGAGCAAATCAGCTTCCTTCCCTTCTCCTGTAGGTGCGAAACCTGAGAGCAGCCCCAGTACACTCCCTGCCTGCAAATCTCCATCTCAAAGTCAGCCTCCAGGGAGCCCACCCTGAAACAGAGTCTGTCGTGGAGCTCCACAGAGTATCCCTGTGCGGATAACCAGCGCTGGGCGTTAGAGCAGGACTCTCTCCACCTGCACGGCGCTGGGGCTCTGCACACCCCTCTGCAGCCATCCTCACTGGTGTCCCTCAGCTGACACCCTTGCCCTCAGTGTGTCCTTCCTCATGGCCTGCAGGTGTCACATCCCAAGCTACAGATCGTGTCTTCTGGTTTGGGCTCTGGCAGAGAGTTCGGAAGCACCTGTTCATTATCTTAGCAGCAGCACGTGTGGAAATCGTTTCTCATGACTGCGGAGGGCAGGCACTGTGCAGAGGGTTACGTGGGCCTGCTCGACGGTAGTGGTTGTTAGCTCTCATGTCTATGCCTTGGTCCCTTTCCCTGCAGGACTTGGAGAACAAGCTGTTTGAATCTGATGCAACCCCTGGACTTCGACTATCATGCCAAAAGGCAGCAAATCAGTGCCTTTTCTTCCCTTCAGAATGTATGGACAATCCAAAGCTCTATTAGTCTATTATTCAGAAGAAAGTGTTTACAGTATTCGTCCTCTTACTCCTCAGTACGCGAGACTGTTCCTCATAGCAGGTAATTTCTTCCTAATTCAAAAACTCCTCATGGAAGCATCTGTTTTTGTCATCAAGGAGGGGACTGTATGTGGAATCGCAAGGCCAAAGACACCGCGGGTCAACTCTTCTCAGGACCAGATCCAAGTCGCCAGTGAGAACACACATTCAGGCAGCCTCCACCAGTGCCCCGCCTCAGGAACGAGGCTCCCTGCTTCATGTGGGCAAGAGTTGCCCCTGTTTTCCCAGCAGGCAGTCGGGGGTCTGGAGCCTAGGGAGCAAAGTGAAGCATACACTCCTGCTTCCTTCCTTCCCTGCACTTGGTGAGTTTCTGGCTCAGCTTAGATTAATATCATCTCTTCAGCCTGGCCCAGTTTACCACTGTGGGAAGGAGCCCAGCAGCAGGGGCTGCCAGACCTGGAAATAGATCCACTCATTGCAGTATGGCAGATGCAGAAGAGCAGAGCCAGCCATAGCTGGAAGAGAATCTTGGGGCACAGAGATGCACAAACACGTATGAGCAAGTCGAGACCCAAGTACCAAGCTGTAGAGTTACTGCTCCATAGCAACCCAGGCCAGGAGGCAAGGTAAGAGGACGGTTAGTACAGAGAGCCACGGGGCAAGAGTGGAGCCACCTCGACAGTGGGGGTGACCAGAAGCCACATCTAGGAGTGTTGACCCAGAGTCTGCATTTCGTCCTGCTCAGGACTGTAGGAGAGGCCCATCTTAAATGCCACTGTCTCCGTGAGCTTTTGGAAACCTTACCGGCTTCCTCCCATGTTCAGGGAGCTCCACTAAGGTAACCTTCGTGCCTTGTCTCCACCCCTCTATTACTTTGCCCCAGGGAAAATGAAAGACTACCGCTTGGATAGGTAGGTGGGGAGGGGAAACTGGTCCAACGTAGGCCAGTTGGCCCCTCCATCACCTTGGGGGTGAGCACATGCAGGGTACAAACTCCCACCGCTCTCGCTGAGGGGGCTGCACCCCTGCAGGACTAAAGGAGCCTTTCCTAGTCCAGGGCTGCCGTGGCTGGGCGGGTGAGCCTGCCTCCTAGTGGGGTTTGCATTAGCAGCTCACTTAGTTCACAGGTCTAAAGCTGTGTCCTCCAGTCCAGCCCTCTAGCAGTAATAAAGAGGATATTTGGGTTCCTATTGCCATTCCTTTGTTTTATTTCTCAGGGCCCTCAAAGACACCCCAGAATAGGTTTTCTGTCCCCTTCAATCTTGCCCTTCTTTGAATCCCCATTGCATTTTGTGGTATGTTCCTAGCATGAACTTTCATTCTTTCAGTAGTTACCTCCTTATTTCCTTCCCCCTTGCATTTAAAAATAATTTTTATAGACGAGGTCTCACTCCGTCACCCAGGCTGGAGTGCAGTGGTGCAATCATAGCTTGCTGGGCTCAAGCACCCTTCCTGCCTCTGCCTCCCAAGTAGCTGGGACCACAGGTGCACATGACTATGCCCAGCTAACTTTTGTTTTTCTTTTTTGTAGAGGCAGGAGTCTTACTTTGTTGCCCAGGCTGGTCTCAAACTCCTGGCTTCAAGCAATCCTTCTGCTTCGGCCTTCCAAAGTGCTGGGATTACAGGCATGAGCCACCATGCCCAGCCTCCTTCCCTTACTAGCTGAGAACTAAGAGAAGACACTCTGGAGACAGAGGAGGAAACAATGGTGACGCCACGCGATGAATACATGATGGAGGATGAAGACAAGGCTCCATCAGGGGCACCAGCGAGGGAAGCCCAGTACTGTAGGGAAGGTATGGGGTGGCTTCACAAGCCCAGTGTCTGCTCTCTTTGTGGGACATGTGTTGTTTCGGCATCCATTCCCGCTTCTTTTGGGAAAAGTGCTTGAATTTCCTTTTCAGGAACCACCCACCATCCTCTCATCCATGCGTTCTATTCCCGGCATCCGGGTAGACAAGTGACTTCAGGCTTGGCCAGTTAGGGTTCTGACTCTTGGTCAAATCGGAGTGAATCCTGAGTCATTTGTAAACTCCAAGGAAAGGGCTTGCTTTGTTTTCTGTTGAATGCAGTGCTGTGAGATAACCAGAAATGAAGCTGCTTTCTTGCCACAGTGAAGGCAAGAAAAGGGCCTGGCCGGCAAATGATGCCAGCGATCGGGGTGGAGCTGGAAGAGGGGGAGCGAGGAGGCCCAGACATCTTGGGATCCCCGAATTCACCTCAGGATTTAACTTCTCTGCTGCTCAGCCAATTAACTCCTTTCTTCCATGACTAGTTTGAGTTGAGTTTTTAGTTTTTGCAACTAAAACAGCACTGACTAATACACCCTTAGGTAAGATTAGAGCAAGAATATCCAATATCTGTTTTCTTCATCCTGAAATTTGGTGAGGATATCTAAGGTTCTTTTGTCTTTTAAAAGAATTCTGTTGCAATAGAAAATATCAACCCATATTTTTCCATTTCTCCAAAATGTTTTAGTGTATATCTGCAGGGCACAAACTTCTCTCTGTAGGCCCTCTGCCATGGTTGCTCTATGCCACTTGTTAAGGGGCTGGTATCTAGAATATATAAAGCACTCTTAAAACTCAGCCGGGCACAGTGGCTCACGCCTATAATCCCAGCTCTTTGGGAGGCCGAGGCAGGCAGATCACCTGAAGTCAAGAGTTTGAGACCAGCCTGGCCAACACGGCGAAACTCTAGCTCTCTAAAAATACAAAAATTAGCCGGGCCTGGTGGCTCATTCAAGACTGAGGCAGAAGAACTGCTTGAACCCAGGAGTTGGAGGTTTCAGTGAGCCCAGATGGCACTATGGCACTCCATCGTGTGTGACAGAGTGGCACAGGATGGCAAAAACAAACAAAACCTCTTAAAACTCAACAATAAAAGACAAATAACCCAATTTACAAATGAGAAAAGGGCCAAGTGTGGTGGTACTCCCAGCACTTTGGGAAGTTGAGGTGGGTAGATTGCTTGAGCCCAGGAGTTTGAGACCAGCCTGGGCAGCATGGCAAAACCACATCTCTACAAAATACAGAAAAGAAAAAAAAAAAAAAATTAGTTGGGTGTGGTGTTGCGCACCTGTAGTCTCAGCAACCTGGAGGCTGAGGTGGGAGGATCGCTTAAACCTAAGGAGATAGAGGCTGCAGTGAGCTGTGATTGTGCCACTGCACTCTACCCTGGGCAACAGAGAGAGTGAGACCCTGTCTCAAAAAATAATAAGAAAGAAAGAAAGATGAGAAAAGCATTTATTTCTTTCCTTCTTTTTTTTTTTTTTTCTTTTGAGAGAGGGTCTGACTGTGTCCCCCAGGCTGGAGTGCAGTGGTGCAGTCTTGGCTCACTGCAACCTCTGCCTCCCAGGTTCAAGTGATTCTCCTGTCTCAACCTCCCGAATAGCTGGGACTACAGGAGCAAGCCACCACACCCAGCTAATTTTTGTATTTTTAGTAGAGACGGAGTTTCACCATATTGGCCAGGCTGGTCTCGAACTCCTGACCTCAAGTGATCTGCCCACCTCCGCCTCCCAAAGTGCTGGGATTACAAGTGTGAGCCACTGTGCCTGGCTTTTTTTTGCTGCTGTTGTTTTTGTTTTTTGAGACGCAGTCTCGCTCTGTCGCCCAGGCTGGAGTGCAGTGGCTCAATTTTGGCTCACTGCAACCTCTGCCTCCTGGGTTCCAGGGATCCTCCTGCCTCAGCCTGCTGAGTAGCTGAGACTACAGCCGAGGCGCCACCATGCCTGGCTAATTTTTTTTTTTTTTTTTAAGTAGAGATGGAGTTTCACCATGTTGGCCAGGCTGATCGTGAACTCCTAACCTCAAGTGATCTGCCCACCTCGGCCTCTCAAAGTGCTGGAATTACAAGCATGAGCCACACTGCACCTGAACTTTTTTTTTTTTTTTTTTTTTTTTAAGAGAGATGAGTACAAGGTAGGGACTCAGAGGAAAGGGTGGGAAGGGGGTGAGGGATAAAAGACTACACACTGGGTACAGTGTGCACTGTGTAGGTGGTAGGTGCACCAAAATCTCAGAAATCACCACTAAACGACTTATTCCTATAACCAAACACCACCTGTTCCCCAAAAACCTATTGGGGAAAAAAAAAAAAAAGAAAACTCACATAAGTAAATAAATACAGGCCAGGCGCAGTGGCTCATACCTGTAATCCCAGCACTTTGGGATGCCAAAGTGGGTGGATCACCTGAGGTCAGGAGTTTGAGACCAGCTGGCCAACATGGAGAAATCCTGTCTCTACTAATAATACAAAAATTAGGTGGGCATGGTGGCACACACCTGTAATCCCAGCTACTTGGGAGGCTGAGGCAGGAGAATCACTTGAACCTGGGAGATGGAGGTTGCAGTGAGCCAAGGTCGCGCCACTGCACTGCAGCCTGGGTGACGAGCAAAGCTCTGTCGAAAGAAGAAAAGAAAGAAAGGAAAGAAAGGTGTCGTCTGGCTGTGTTGCCCAGGCTGGAGTGTGGTGGCTATTCATGGTATGATCATAGTGCACTGCAGCCTCAAAACTCTGGGGTTCCAGTGGTCCTCCTGCCTCAGCCTCCTGTGTAGCCGGTACTACAGGCTACAGCTAAACGGCTCAGCTCCTCAGTCCTCCTTCATCTCCCACAGTGGATACACAGCATGGCAGCCCCTCCCAGGACATCACAGATCTTTATGGCTGCAGGGACTGTAAAGTCACCCAGTTCAGCCCCTCGTTTATATATAAGGAAACAGTCCTACAGAGAAGGCGTGCCTTTTTAAGTCACACATTTGAGCAAATAAATAATTATCTCCTCACACATTTATGATTGCTATTACATCCTTTTCTCTAGACCTTTTCTTTTAACCTTTCATCCACTTAGAATGCTCGCCTGGACCCTCTCCAATTTCTCAACATCTTTCTTTTGTTTTTGGAGACGGAGGCTTGCTCTGTCACCCAGGCTGGAGTGCAGTGGCATGATCTTGGCTCACTGCAACCTCCACCTCCTGGGTTCAAGCAGTTCTCCTACCTCAGCCTCCCAAGTAGCTGGGATTACAGGTGCCCACCACCACACCTAGTTAATTTTTGTATTTTTAATGGAGATGGGGTTTCACCATGTTGGCCAGGCTGGTCTCGAACTCCTGACCTCAAGTGATCCACCCACCTCAGCCTCCCAAAGTGCTGGAGTTACAGGTGTGAGCCACCATGCCCAGCTCAACATCTTTCTTAAGTGGGCCCAAGGCTGGGGGGAACATCTCACCGTAGAGATATTTGTTAGATATTGAGCATGTGTAAAGAAAGCATCTGTGATGGTTAATTTTATGTGTCAGTTGGACTGGGCCGTGGGGTGCCCAGATATCTGCTTGAACATTACTCTGGGTCCATCTGTGAGGGTGCGGGGTAGGATTGGCATTTAGGTTGGTGGAGCAAGTAAAGCAGGCTGCCTCCCTAACACGGGGGTCCTCATCCATCAGCTGAGGGTCCAAATAGAACAAAAGGCTGAGCTGGAGGGCGCCCCTCCTGCATGACCAACTTTTAAGTGGTGACATCAGCTTTCTTCTTGCTTTTGGACTTGAACTGAAACATCACCTCTTCCTGGATCTGGAGCCTGCTGGCCTTCAGACTAGAACTACACCTTCGGCTCTCCTGGGTCTCGGCTTGCTGACTCACCCTGCAGAACTTAGGACTCGTCAGCCTCCACATTTGTATGAGCCAATTCCTTATAGTGTCTCTTTCTCCATATATACATGTATCTCCACATCTTATTGTTCTGCTTCTCTCGAGAACCCTGAATCATTCCAAGATCATTCCAAGATTAGCAGAAATGTTAGTGCTTCTGGGGAATTACTGCAAAGGGTACCTGAATAGCAGCACATGCTCTCAGTACCCCCGCCTTCTGTTGTCTGCTGTGGCCTGCTCCCTCCCCACCCTTTGGGTTGATTTCAGGATAGGGATATGGGGATGGCACTGGGGTTGGGTGTGCAGTTACCCAGAACAGCCAGGATGTGTGCACGCTGTGTCCCAGGAGCAGGAGCATCGAGCACTGCTCAAGCTGCTTGGAAAAGAAAAAGTCAGGAAAGTGAGGAGCTGGGTGGGCACTAGAATGGAGCAGGAAGAAAGGGGCAAGGGCAGGAGAGAAGCAGAAGAAACAATCCCTGAGACAGAGCTGGTGTAACCAAGGCTCTGTTTGCCCCACCGTTTGAGAGAGTGGGTGAGCTGACGTCAAGGCCCAGCTCTGTTCAAAGGTAGGACACTGATTTTCTTCCAGAAGGCAGAGCTGGTGAGTGGCCTCATGTCTTATCATCATGGAGAGGGGAGGGCTGGGGGAGAGAAGGGGCAGCCAGGGCCTCCGAGTGGTGTAGGCCTCACCCTTGTGCTCACATGTCCCAGCCACTGCCAGTGGTGCCACCCCTGAATCCCAGACCCCACGTGTAACCATCTACCTGGACCACAGGAGGAAGCGCCACGTTCTTTGCCACGGTTCAGGGTAAAGGCATGATCTAAGTTGGGCAAAAGAGAGTCATCCTGGTACCTCAAAAAGGAGTCTAGGGTGAGCCCCAGGCTGCTGGTGGTCGTCTTCACCACCTTTGAGGAGAGACAACCTGAGCAGACACACAAAGGAAAGAGGTGGAGAGAAACCGTGTCTTTGTGTCATTGTTTGAGTCCCTGGACCCAGTCAAGCCCCCTGGACTATGCTGAACTTTTCAGCTGTGGAAAGCAATAAAGTCCATTTAGTGAAGAAAGTTTCAGTTCTGTTTCTTGCAGCTGTGAGCATTCCGACAACCTTGATGTTCCAGGCCCCCTTGGGCCAGGTCCATGAGCTCATTGCTTGCCATGCGCCTCACAGCATCAACTCAATGTTCCCCAAAGCCACACCCTTCCTTTCCTGCTTTCACACCACTGACTACACCGTGCGCTCATGAAAGCCTGCCCCTTCTCCGAGGCCCAGATCAAGTCTCTCCTTTAGGAAATATTCCTTGGCTGTCAGGTTTGTGTGTTACCAGGTTTCCTTTTTCCTGGTGGCTGGATTGGAAGGCCTTAGAGGGCAAGGATCATGTGTTAGGATCTCTGCATCCTCCACAAGGCACTTGTGTTCAGTGTATTTGCTGAATGAACATAAAAAAGCATGACCCGGTCGGGCGCAGCGGCTCACCCCTGTAACCCCAGCACTTTGGGAGGCCGAGGCGGGAGGATCACCTGAGGTCAGGAGTTCCAGACCAGCCTGGCCAACATGGCATAACCCCATCTCTACTAAAAATACAACAATTAGCTGGGTGTGGTTGCGGGCGCCTGTAATCCTAACCACTCGGGAGGCTGAGGTTGGAGGATTGTTTGAATTGGGGAGGCAGAGGTTGCAGTGAGCTGAGATCTCGCCATTGCACTCCAGCCTAGGCAACAAAGTGAGACTCCGTCTCAAAAAATAAATAAATAAGTAAAAATGAATAAGAGACCTTCTTCCTTTATTAAAATAAAACCCGTCTACCACCCCAAGGTTATTCCAGAAGGAAACTCTCCACCAATAGTGGTGGCACTAGACATATACTGAGAGATCCCCAAGACGGAAGTGTAGCCCTGGGGGCATCTGAGACTACATGGTCTACCTCGCCATACAGGGAGGCCCTTTACTGGGCTAGCTGCCATTTTCTACCAAGACAGAAGGCAGGAACCTTCCAAACAGGGCAGCCTGCAGGCCCCGCACCCTTCAGGCCCCTTTCTCAGACACCTGTACAACCCCTTAAGCCAGACGGACTCACAGCTGTCTCTGGAAAGTTCTTCGTTACCTGACTGTAGACTGGAGGGGTCCCTGCCTCACCTCCAACATCTTATGAAGCCCCTTGCCACCCACTGTGTTGCTGTCCCACTCAGCTGAAGGGGCTGGCCAGTCCCACATCAACCCTCCAGCTCTGAGATCAGCCAATCTTCCCTGGACACTGCTCTCCCCCCCAGCAAAAAAGCCAAGAATTTTCCCCAAAGCTTATGGTGACGAACCGGTTTTTTTTGTGTGTGTGTGTGTGTGTGTGTGTGTGTGTGTGTGTGTGTGTGTGTGTGTGTGTTCTGACACGGAGTCTCACTCCATCACCAGGCTGGAGTGCAGTGGTGCGATTTCATCTCACTGCAACCTCTGCCTCCGGGGTTCAAGCGATTCTCCTGCCTCAGCCTCCCGAGTAGCTGGGACTCCAGGCGCCCATCACCATGCCTGGTTAATTTTTGTATTTTTAGTAGAGACAGGGTTTCACCGTGTTGACCAGAATGGTCTCGATCTCCTGACCTTGTGATCTGCCCACCTTGGCTTCCCAATGTGCTGGGATTACAGGCATGACCCACCACATCCAGCCAGAACTGATCTTAATTCTCAAACCAGTGACCCTAATAAACTGTCTTCATTTCAGGTGGGCTCATTCAAAATGCCATTTTCAGGCTTGGTGCAGTGGCTCATGCCTGTAATCCCGACACTTTGGGAAGGGAGGCAGAAGGATTGCCTGAAGCCAGTAGTTTGAGACCAGCCTGGGCAACATGGTGAGACTCTGTCTCTACTCACCCCCACAAAAAAGACATTTTCTCTTCTCCGCAAACCTCCCGCCTCCCATTAAAATGTCACTCCCCCTAAAAAAACGCAGAGGAAGAGGTAAGATTGCAGGCTATTTGAAAACAGGGGCATGGGCCGGGCGCGGTGGCTCAAGCCTGTAATCCCAGCACTTTGGGAGGCCGAGACGGGCGGATCACGAGGTCAGGAGATCGAGACCATCCTGGCCAACACGGTGAAACCCCGTCTCTACTAAAAATACAAAAAAAAAATAGCCGGGCGAGGTGGCGGGCGAAAACAGGGGCATGAAGTTTGTCAGTTCCCTTATGTCTCCCCACAGCATCTGTGTTCCATTAGTGTAGTGGCTGAGACTGTGGATTCCGCAGGCAAGATACCAGTTGAAGATTCTCTAGTCATCTTGGGAAGGCTGCCCTGCCCCATATGCACCACCTCTTCCTGTGTCCCAGGGTCCTCTCCTTGTGGCCCTTCACATCCCATGGCTTCCCATGTGCGGGCCCCTCTTTGCCTGTGTGGCTGATGCCACCTTCCAGCTGCCATGTGACAGGTAGGCAGGGACTGGGGCTCCCGCATTCCCAACTCCAGCACCTGGCTGAGACACTGGGCCCTGGGACCGACTGTGACTGCCCTCTTCCCCTTTGGCAGGTCCTGTCTCCCACTTCTGACACCCTCACTTAAGGCTAGGCAGACCCCTTCCCACTGCCACCAGTCATTAAAATAAGGCTGCATCCCTCCCTTCCCTTCTCAAAATCCTTCCAGGGCTCCTTCTGCTGTTAGTGCCTCAGATGAGCACCCCTCACCTTTCTAACCTCAGCTCTCACCACGTCCTGGCCACCAGTGTGCTTTCGCTCTTGCCGTTCCCTCAGCAGCAGTGTCCCTACCCCAGTTCACTCCCACGTCAAGTGTGGCTCAAGCTGCGTCCTCCAGGAAGCCTTTCATTATCACTGAGGTCAGAACTGGCTCCCTTCTGGGCACAGCACTTTTCTGAGCCGGCCGCCCACTTCACTCTGCCTTTCTGTGGACAAGTCCATCTCCTGAACTTAGGACATAAAATCCTTGCACAGGGTCCTGTCAGTCACTGTATTTTTCATGGTGCCTAATGGTGCTTTGTCTGAATGGACATGAAATAAGAGAACACACTCCCAGCTTCCAAGAAAGATGTGTATTCTCCCTAGCAACAACAAAAGAGACCTAAATGGGTTGCTCCCTGAAGGGAGCCCTCGGCTCTTACCGTGATGCACATGTGGGGCTGTGTGACCGAATGTATGAAGGAAGGAAAGAAGGAATGGAGGGAATGTGGGCAATCAAGGCCTGGCACTGCCCTCCAGGAGGCTTACAGGTCACATCCCAGAACTGTCTCTGTCCCCATACTTCTCCTAGTAAGATTCATTGCCTATGATTTCAAAGAAAGTGCAGTTTCTAGGGAGTGAAGGAAAACATGAAACATAGAAAATAAAAAGAGAGAAAAACACACAAATTATTAAATAAAATTTAAAAATAGAGGGAAAAAAAGTGTAGTTTGTTCTGCAAGCCACAGCCCAAAGAAGTCTATTTCCTCCCGCAGGATGGCTAGAGGTTAGGAGCCGTGTTCTCTTCTATAGCTCACCAGAGGACGCAGCGTGAAGAGCTCAGGTTTGAAGGCTGGGCCTGGGGCAGGAGTCAGCTACTGTTTCTAGCTGTTCTAGAAAGACCTAGAAGCTTCCTGTGTGAAAACAGGATTAGAAAGCTCTGGGGGTGAAAATGCCATGCACGGAGCTGGCCCATGCCAAGTCCTTTCTAACCATTTTAAATTACATCTTTGGCCAGGTGCGGTGGTTCATGCTTGTAATCCCAGCACTTTGAGAGGCCGAGGTGGGTGGATAACCTGAGGTCAAGAGTTCGAGACCAGCCTGGCCAACATGGTAAAACCCCTCTCTACTAAAAATACAAAAAAAGTATCCGGGCACAGTGGCACACGCCTGTAATCCCAGCTACTTGGGAGGCTGAGGCAGGAGAATCGCTTGAACCCAGGAGGCAGAGGTTGCAGTGAGCTGAGATCACGCCACTGCAGTCCAGCCTGGGCGACAGAGCGAGACTCTTGTCTCAAAAAAAAAGAAAAAGAAAAAAAATTACAGCCTCATCAATGTCTCCTGCTTCTCTGAGATCAAGGGAACAAACCAAATCAGGAAAATTGTGACAAAAATGACAGGCAGCCATTGGCATTTCCATTCTTATTTGTGGTTTCTGGTTTTTTGGTTTTATTTTCCTTTTTAATTTTTTTCCTAGAAAAAAAACACAACCGGGGGGATTTATATGACAAACTATCAGTGTCAGGATGGCAGAGGGAAAGAGAAAGAAGAGGAAGGCTCAGAGACATGGGGAGTGAGTAAAAAGTGGGTTCCGGATTGTGCGGAACGGTCCACAGGGTCATGTACAGGTCCGCAGGAGATGACCGGTCCCTTTGGCATGCATGTCCGGTGCCTGGTCTTCTGGTCTGCCTGCTCAGACGCCCATGGGCAGAGCGAGCTGGCCACAAGTAAACCTGCCAACGACAAACTCAGGACTCAACAGAAAGACTCAGTTCAGTTCCTTGGCTTTGTGCTCAGGCAGCCGGCAGCCTTTCTTGCCTGAGAGAAGAGTCCAGAAGAGCAGGAGACTCACCTTTGAACACACTCTGCCATCACAGCGGTGAACTGCAAGCAGCTGCCCGCTCGTGTGCAGGTGTGGCCCTCGCCACCCACACGGGCATCTGTCCGGACATCCCAGTCAATCCAGCCAAAGGATGGGACGTGACAGTCCCTTTCTAGCCACAGCTTCATAGTGTTGTCCATTCTCCAGTCTTGCTTAAACTATGGATCACCGTAAAGGTTCGAAGAGATTGTGGACACTGAGTCCCAAGAAGCAGGTAACTTAACAAGGACAGGTTGGCCATCTGGATCTACACTGAAGGTCTTTCAAGTTTCATCCACTTCATGCCCAGATCTCAGGGCAGAAAATTCAGGCAGACCCAGAGCAAACAGGGTGGCCGAGTGATGGCTGAGCAAGAAAGGCCCAGCGGCGCACTGCAAGACCAGAGTACATTCAAGAGGGCGGGGGGGAGACGCGCGGCAGGCTGGAGCCCCGAGTCAGAGTCTAGGGCGGCACTGGTCTGAAGGACACAGCCCGGCCTGCTGGGCTGACAGGGTGGGTCTGACGCCTCATGTGACGGGGCCCCACTGGCTGTATTCCTATGTGGAGGGTGGTGGGTTCCTGCCCTGTTGTGGCCCCTGTTCCTAAACTGATGCCAGGTTCCATCTCAGTGCCGCAGTCCTGAGGAGCACCACGCTGGCCCGCCAGCCAGGCCACAGTCCTCAGCCCCTCTGGGTTCCACAAGAAGGCCCCAGGGAGCCAGTCACTGGGAGGGAAGGGCCGGGAAGGGAGGCTGCATTCTACTGGGAGAGACTCGGGAGGGGCTGCCACGGGCTTGGAAGAGCTACAGCCCCAAATACAGCGCCAAAAGGAATGGGATACATGTCTAAAAAGGGACAAAGTCTTGTCCCTATTTTAAAAACAGAATATTGTTGCTGTTGCCTGGTTTTGTTTTTTTCCTTTTAAAACCACTCACATTTAAAAGGTGAAGGGCTGGGAGATGTAGTCCCCTTCACTCTGGTCCTCGATAGGCACCAGGGGCCTCAGTCTCACGCTGGCTTCTGCTCTCTTTGCCTGGGCTCCAGCCACAGGAAGCAAGGGCAGAGAGGGCAGCAACGGCTCTGCCTTCCCAACAGCAATTCCCTCTCCCCATAAAACCAGGGCACATGTGAGGAGAAGTCCAAAGAGTAAAGTGCACAGAACTCTCGGGAGCAGGTGGCCTGGGGGTGGGTCACTCCGAGAAGGAAGGGGTCTGGGGGGCGTCAGCCCAGAGCTGCAGCTGTGGAGCAAACCCTGACCCCTGTGAGGTGAGCCTGCAGGGCACAGTCCCCTTTCCCCTGGGCCCTTTGACACTTCTTTCTGGGACTGTCCACTCTCAGCAGCTCTCCAAGGAAAGTCTCGGTCCCAAAGACACGGCCCACGCTAGAGGAAACTTGGATGACCTTCCCTGGCTGGTAATGACTCATGAACGTGAAGGGGGCAGGATGTGGCAGGAGGAAAAGAGTACGTTATAGAAAACCAGTGGGCCTCCGCTTCTGAGAGCAGGGACACTTGGATGATCCTAAAGGCAGAGTCTCTCCCGGGGAAGGTTTGGAGAAGATGGTCAGGATCCTACCAGTGAGGCCTGCTGGGGAAAGGAGCTCCTCTGGGCGCGAGAGGAGCTGCAGAGTTGGGGGAGGGGCTGCCGAGGAAGAGAGCCCAAGGCTGGCATTAGGGGGTGTAGGCAGGGGGTGGCTGGAACTGGTTGATGACCTCATACTCCGCCGGGTAGGGCTCGTTCTCCTCCATCTCGGAGAGCAGCTCCAGAGCCTGCTCCTCTTCCTCTGTGGGGTAGTGGCGCAGGAGGTTGGCTGCCGTGGCCAGGATTGAGGCTCCACCAGCTCCTGCCACCAGGTAGAAGCTAACAGCGAAGGTGACGTAGACCTGGGATCCATGGTACTTCTTATGCTGCTGCTGCTGGGCCAGGATGAGTTCAGAAGCCCAGTAAGAAAAGCCAATGACGGTGGCACACTGCAGGACTAGGGGACAGAGGGACAGCACAGAAGGGGAATTAGTGAGCACGCCATAGCCAGGATGCTTGAGGACCCAATCACAGCCTCTCCACCCAAACCCCATTCTCAGAGAACCTGCCTGGCCCGACTCTGCAAGGAGGAGCTCTCCTGGCCATGGGATTCCTGGCCTGAGGCTGGGGACAGCAGTCTGACCTGATCGAGGCCAGTCAGATTCTCTCTGTCTTAAGGAGCAAACAGGGTCATGCAGGTTGGGAGCTGGAGTAGGCACACCACCCTTCGAACCAGCACAGCAGTGCAGGCATGAGGGAGGAGAGCAGCTGCATACAAGAAAAGGCGGGTCTGTGGGGAAGCAGGAAGGTGGAGAGGAGAGAATCTGACCAGGAGCTCCAGGTGAGACACGGGAGATTGCCTGGTTCCTTCTTCACTCGTGTCAGGTCTGAGCTTCAAATGCCATTTTAGAGAGCTGTGAGCTGCTTTGTGGAATTTCTAGCAACATTTCCCCTCTACAGCTGGGCTGAGTGGGTTTGTGATCCTGGCAAGTTAGCAGCTAGACTGGAGCAGGCTGCTGACACCCTGACACTCTGGGAAAGCCGAGCTTGGCGCACGAGCTCCTGGAAGGGCGCCTGCTCAGAGAAACCACAGCCCCCACCGGCAACTCAGACAGGAGGCCCCTGCCCCACAGCAGTTCCTCCCCCACAACGAGCGGCCCTCAGCTTACCCGTGAGGATATGGGCGAAGGCATAGCGACGGGTGATCTTCAGGGCGGGATGCTTGGGCCCGAACACGTCCAGAAGGAACGCGGAGAGACTGCACAGGATGCCCAGGAAACAGAAGGCGGCGATGACCCGCAGGAGCAGCACTGTCTGGGGATTCATGCAGAAATCTGCAGGGGGAGAACCACATTTCCAGGGCCCCAAGTAACGCCTGGTGCAGGAAGCCCCCACCTAGAAGGAGTCTGATCCCCTCCACCACAGTGCTGGGAGCCAGGGCAGTTCTGGAGGACACTGTCTTAGCTCCCGCTCCTGGGTGGTCTGCAGGGAGCTGGAACAAATTCCACAGAAGCAAACAGAAGCCCTCTGGGCCACGGCTCTTCTGTACCTCAAGTCCTTCTCTCTCCAACAAGACTAGCCTGAGTGCAGGCTTCTGCTTCACTGTCTATGCCACGCCCTTCTAACCATTCTTAAAGCCCTGACATGTTCATGCTAGAGGATACTTTGAGCTGGCGGGAAAAGCCTGACTTTGGAGCTGAGACAGCCAGAGAGGCTAAGACCACACAGGTCAATTCATACCGATTCTCCATTTACTCACTCATTCATTCCCTTTTTGTTCCAAAAAGAAGCTGAACTTGAAGACACTATGCTAAGTGAAATCAACCAAATGTAGGACAAATATTTTATAATTCCACTCATATGAGATACTTAGAATAGTCAATTTATAGAGACAGAAAATATAATGGTGGTTGCCAGCGGGTAGGGAGAGGGGAGAATAGGAAGTTATCATGTAATGTGCACAGAGGTTCAGTTTGAAATGATGAAAAAGTTTTGGAAATGGATAGTCGTGATGCTTGCACAACAATGTTAATGTGCTTAATATCAATGAACTCAACACTTAAAATGGTTAATACTTTGGATGGCTGAGGCAGGAGGATTGCTCGAGGCCAACAGTTTGAGATCAGCCTGGGCAACACAGTGAGACCCCCGTCTCTTAGAGAAAAAAAAAAAAATTAGCTGAGCATCGCGGTCTTAGCTCTTTAGGAGGCTGAGGCAAGAGGACTGCTTGCGCTCAGGAGTTACAGTAAGCTATAATCACACCACTGCACTCCAGCTTGGATGACAGAAAGAGACCCTGTCTCTTAAAAAAACAAAATATTGGCCAGGCGCAGTAGCTCACGCCTGTAATCCCAGCACTTTGGGAGGCCGAGACGGGTGATCACGAGGTCAGAAGATCGAGACCATCCTAGCCAACATGGTGAAACCCTGTCTCTACTAAAAATACAAAAAGTAGCTGGGCAAGGTGGCGCACACCTGTAGTCCCAGCTACTGGGGAGACTGAGGCAGAATTGCTTGCGCCCGGCAGGTGGAGGTTGCAGTGAGCCGAGATCCAGCCTGGTGACAGAGTGAGACTCTGTTTTTTTTTTTTTTAAAAAAAAAAAAGGTTGGCAGGGCACAGTGGTTCACGCCTGTAACCCCAACACTTTGGGAGGCCAAGGCAGGTGGAATATCTGAGGTCAGGAGTTTGAGACCAGCCTGACCAACATGGTGAAACCCTGTCTCTACTAAAAATACAAAATTAGCCGGGCTTGGTGGCATGTGCCTGTAATCCCAGCTACTTGGGAGGCTGAGGCAGGAGAATCGCTTGAACCTGGGAGGTGGAGGTTGTGGTGAGCCAAGATCGCACCTTCACACTCCAGCCTGAGCAACAAGAGTGAAACCCCATCACAAAAAAAAAAAAAAAAAGGTTAAAATGCTGTTTAATGTTCTGTATATTTTACCACAATTAAAAAAAAAAGTAAAATAAAGAAAGGAGGAAGAAAGAAGTTGCAGCAGTTTAGAGAAATGTGCAGCTACAAGAAAGCATTACACAGATTCGTAAAGTTGGTAGACTACATCATCGCATTTAGTTTTGCTCCCTCCCTGAACTCTACGAGAACAAAAGAATTCTTTTAAAGGGCAACCCACACAAAAAGAAAGGGAGATGTAAAACAAGGTTCCACAAACTGGAAAGTAAAGGGACACAGACCTACCTAAAAGGGACTCAGCAGACTCGGCAGAGCTGGGGACAAGCCGTCAACAGGAAAAGCTAGAAAGCAACCACATGTATGCCACGAAAGCCCCAGAAGGTTTGGACAGTGCCGGTGTGCACACATCAAGGGCATAAATGAAGGAAAAGGAAGAGGCTGAAAGAAAAGACGCAGTACTCAAGGGATTCCTGGGGGTCATGGTGCAGGGAGAGCCCATGACAACAACCACGCACCAGACACACAGTGTGACTTGTACTTCCCTCCGGTACGTCAGCCATCCTTTAAAACACATTTCAACTAGACAACACTGTCTGTCTCCTTTGATAACTATGCAAACTGCAAAAGCTCCCAGAAGCATAGGGTAGAATAAACGCTGAACCAAAAAGAAACCAGGCCATGATTAAGTATTTTAAGCTTTAATAAAAAGTAGGAAATGGGGCCGGGCACAGTGGCTCACACCTGTAATCCCAGCACTTTGGAAGGCTAAGGTGGGTGGATCACCTGAGGTCAGGAGTTTGAGACCAGCCTGACCAATATGGTGAAACCCTGTCTCTACTAAAAATTTTAAAAATTAGTCAGGTATGGTGGCATGCACCTGTAGTACCAGCTACTCAGAAGGCTGAGACAGGAGAACTGCTTGAACCTGGGAGGTGGAGGTTGCAGTGAGCCAAGATCACATCACTGCACTCCAGCCTTGGTGACAGAGTGACTCTGTCTCAAAAAAAAAAAGCAGGAAATGGGCCTTAACTTCCTCTCCTTCCTCTGTTACAGTCACTAGCAAGTTCTTCTCTTATTTAGGCCATGGGTCACCGAGTGACTTAGGAAAATTTGGAAAGGGCTGGCAAGACTCAGGCTATGTAGCATCCTTTCCTGAACTTGACCTCAGGCTGAGAGGGTGTGGGATGTGATCATCAATCTCTAGGACACACCCAAATCACTGGGGCACTAGCTGAAAGCGTGTTCCCAGGTCCCCAGAGAGTCCGAGTTCTAGGTCTGGAGCAGGGTCTAGAAATCTGCATTTTAACAAGCAGCCTAGGTAATCCCCATGCAGGTGATCCAAGCCCCACACTTCAAGAAACACTGGTTCAGACCTCAGAGGAAGGTGGACTGATGAGGGAAAGTCCAGGAATCTGGGGACGGGACCTAAACCCAGCAAAGCTGACTTAGCCCAGCAGATGCCAGCGTCACAGGCTCTGGGTAGAGGGAAGCCCTGGGCCTTTGGGATTGCGCACACCCTGCCTCAGGCTCAGAGTTCGCCCAGCAGAGGCTGGCTGGGCCCAGACAAGGCTCATAGGCCTCTGTCTGGCTTTGGGTCACCCACCAAGAAGCCCTCAGAGCTATCTGTCGTGATCTCTTAGAGAAATGTGCAGCTACAAGGAAGTATTACATAGATTAGGAAAGTCGGTGGACTATATCATCACATTTAGTTTTGCTCCCCCCCTGAACTCCACGAGAACAAAAGGGTTCTTTTGTCTGCTGACCATCTGTTTTGGGCCCAAGCATCCAGCCTGGGTAGCTGTCTGCTGCCAAAAAGCCTGCCTGTGTGTGAGCCCCGCCTGCAACTGGGACCAGCCTTCACTGAACCCGTCCTGCAGTGCCGGAGTGCATGGGGCCTCACTGAAAGAAAAGCTCTAGGAGACAGGAGCTATCTCCTGGCTTTATTTTAAATATCAGTAAGAGCTGGGAGAGTTCTTCTCGGGGTCCATGTGGCATGTGGCAGGGATGGGGCAGTGTTCTTACAGTTAACCTGCCAGAGGCCACACGCCGCTCTGCAGCAGGCCGTGTCAGATTCCACTCTCATTACTAGTGAGGCCAGGCACTTAGGAGTAAGAAAAGTAATACGTGGGGGCTTCAAGGAGCCTGTATTGTTTCTGTGGCTGGATGGTGAGCACAAGGATGTTCATTTGATAATCCTTAAAAATGTACATCCATGACATACACTCCTATTGCCTTATGTTT